CCCCCTCCCCCCCCCCGACCTCGCCGTCGTGCCAAATAAACTGGAGTAGCATCGCCTTCCTTTTCCTCCCAGCGGGAAGAAGCAAGACGGTTGGAAAACTTCTTCGCATTACCAGAAGTTTGCACAAAAACAGATCGAATGTCTTTTGTCGGCCACCTCCCTCAGCCCCGTTTAATCTCACCTTCATGTCTTCGAAAGAGAGAGAGAGAGAGAGAGAGACTGGTGGCTGGCATAGCCTCACCCTGCGTGAAGAAATCCGGTTTCGGAGCACCGTTTGCGGAGGGGACGGGATGGGAACCTGAGGTCGGTTCTTCACTGCCCTTTCTAGCTGCCGAGGTTGAATTTTTGTGTGTTCCCCTCAGTAAATTCCTCCCCCTCGCCAAAAAAAAAATGCAACTGTGGACATTCAGAAATTTTCTAGACTTAATGCAAAACTGCAACACCCTCCATCCTTTTCAAGAGCTCCCGGCGGATGCCGCTACTAAAAGGAGAAGTTTGTGTTGGCTTTTTAAACGCTTGGCAATTTCAAAAAAGAAAAAAAATCTCTTTCTGTAGAAAAATCGAGAAGGTTTTAGTAGTTTCTGGGAGTAGGTGTCCTATTTTTAGCAATTCTCTCTTTCTCTCCTTTTTTAAAAACTCCTTGGCAGTATTCCTCGAGACGCCCAGAATTCTTCAGAAACATGCTGGCGGGGGAATTCTGGGAGATGAAGTCCACAGATCGTAAAGTTGAAAAGCTGTTCTGGAGGAACAATTTCCCTTCTTCCTCACCCCCACCCTCCAAAAAAGCCCCCTCCTGGAATGATTTTACAGCCCAATTTCGTGGCCTCTCGTGCTGGATTGCAGAGCTCCTTCCCACCCCAGCCTTCCAATGTTTCCTTCAACAAATTCATAATACGAAGATGATATTTGCTAGTTTTGGTATTAGCAGCCCGAAGATTACACGTCTTCTCAAACTTCGTTGGGCTTTTCAACGTAACGGAGGTTTTGATATACGTTTCACCATTAAAAGAGATGCACCGAGCCCCCAATCCCAAAAATGTTCAGCTATTGTGGAGGGGTCTCGTCTTTGGAGACATCGCTGGAGGTCAAAAATGGTTAATTAAAAAAATTTAATGGCCCCTATTGGATTTCAAGAGATGGATTTAGGTGGATCACGTGAACCGAAGTGAAATTGGGAAGCATTGTTGATCTGGTGAGCTAATTCCTCCTTTCTCTCAACTCTCCTCATCCTTTCCTGGACTGTTGGAACTAGGAACTTCACCTACAGGTTGGAGGATCTAACTTACCTTGAGAAGTCCAGTCTTCCCCATCACTCCTTCGCTCCAAGACGGGTCCACCAGAAACCCTTCCACAAAACTTACCTCCATCTACCCAGGTTTTACACACTTTTGTTCTTTAGTGCCAATGGTGCAGTTTAGTCTGCTGTGCGAACCCAACCGCGAATGAATTGTCCATGATTGCGTTCACCAAGTCCAAGCGCTCGCCATCGCATTGAAGCTGATGAGATTCCGGCCAAGATTCATGGTTTAGGAGCTCCCAAGACTTGGGTTCACACCCATGCACCACATCTTGGTTTGTGCGTGGAGTTAGCCATGCTAGAACCATGGAGGTTAGGTGATGGCTTTTTTTTTCTCTTCCTGATGGAGAACATCTGGATTGAAGTGGAGACGCTTAGCCTGTGAAGGATGTGCTTCCTGCACTGAGCCCATTTCTGATTGATATCTATATCTTACTTCTGCAGGGAAAAAAAAAACCCTTAGGAACATGGGGTGTGCGAATGATTCTCAAATGGGGAACAAATTAAATATTTTTCCTTGCCTCACCTCCAAAGAACTCTGGAGAATTCTTCCCTTTTGACAGATTTGCTTCTAGGAAAATGTTCTCTTCCCTCCCCTTACCCCAAAACAAATACTACCAGTGGCTTAATTCATACTTCTTGTTTTTCAATAAATTCTCCCTCCTGCTTTTCCCCCCAAAAGTAAATTATCTTTTAAGTCTGCGTGTATGTTTGTGTGAATGATGAATAGAGGCAGAATAGGCTTGGAGGAAGCGCTAGCGGGTGAAATTTGCAGGAGAATGTTAAAACACAAAGAAAAGGGGAAATCCATTTTAAGGACACTGGAAAGGGTTGTATGTCAGGAATGTATGAGTCGGATGCTAAAGAACAAATTTACCTATTATATCCGTCCAGTCTGAAGTAATATCCTTAGCCATCTCAAGCTATGAATGAGTTGCTAGTCCCTGTTGATCCCTTAAAATAGCTCAGCCTTGGCGATGCAAGAGCTTGAACTTGATCTCTCCTTCTGCAAAGATGATTTTAAAAATAAGTTTCCCAATTTAGTGTCAGCTTTGAAAAACCCTGGTGATCTATCCACCCAGATATTAACTAAATCCAAAAAAATATAATATTTTCCATGATTAGCTGTGCATCACAGCTGTCCACCCTACTGTAAGGTTTTTTAAAAAATCTAGGCTAATTTAAATTGCACCCTAGAAATTTATTCAGACCTGGGGCCTCTTCTAAGCAATGTTTCCGTTGAGCTGTCCTGACAGGTCTAAGTTGCTGACCAAGCATCTGTTCATAATTTGAAGGCCACCAGTGGTCCTTGACCTCTTTAGACGAGAAGGGTGGCAAAGAAATACGTTTCCCTTCCAGATGTTTGGCCTTCCCTTCTGAGAGTTGCCACTGCCTTATTAAGTGACCTATAAATAAAAGCAGAATTAAAAACAACAACAATAAATTGCAGATCATGAATGATTCGGGGAGACTATTCCGTCCATTCCCTTTGTAAGTTAAAGTATTCCACTTTGGGGTTTTGACTTGATCTTATGCGATTTGGGAGAGGGGGGTTTCAGGCCTGGTCAGAGACCTGATGTGACTCCCCCCACCCCCCAAAAGCCCCCACCTCTGTATTGCCATCGCTTGAACTGATGAATGTCGCCTGCAGCTTCCGAAATTGAGATACCCCCCGTTGATGTTTTTTTCCAACCACGTCTTCTAGTTTGTGTTCCCTGCTCTCTCTTTTCTTTTTTTTAACCTCTGCACTTTTCGGAAACAAACGTAGAAAAGGTTTCCTGCATTTTTTTTTTCTTTCTTTTGAGTCCGTTTCTCAACCTAGACCCCTTGAAGGTGTTGACTGCTACAACTCCCAGAATTCCCCAAGCAAGCATGGCTGACGGAATTCTGGGGGTTGAAGTCCAGGCATCTTTCAAGATACTGAACTGGAGCCACACCGGTCTAATCAGATGGGCTTTGGGTAGTTTTTGATGCTTCTGCTGGGTATCTGTAATATTTTTATTTCTTACTGGTTTGGGATTAGCAAGAGGGTGTACGGCCGTCGCTCCCTGAGCCTCTCCAGTTCCTTCTCGTGTTTCGATGTTTTCTTTCTTCAAATGCATGCCTTTGGATTTGACAGGGTTTGTTTTTCTTCTTTCTCTTCTCCATCTTGCAAAACAAAACAGAAAACAAAAGTTTGATTTGGAACCCAGCAAATGAAATGACCACAGAGCCCTTGTGGACCACGAGCTGGGTCTCCCTGGGGCAAAAGTGACCAGCTTTCCAGGCTGATCTTGGTTTGAAGAAAGCTTGAGAGCACATGAGCCCCAAACTCTCCTTCCATTTTGTTTTTCCTTTCACCACCTCCTCCCCTTCCCCCTCAAGTTTCCTGCGGAAATGGAAGACTATTTATATCTAGACAAGGAACTCTGGGTGCTTTTATGATTTGAAAGATTCTCTAATAACTAATTTGGTTGTTGGTTTTCAATAAAAGACGCTCCCAATCTCGTTTCTGGCTTGGTGGCTTTCTTAAAAAGGGGTGAAGTGTTTGTTGGTTGGTTGGTTCACTCACTCACTGAAATTTTCAATGAAGAGAAGGATTTGAATCTGAACTAACTGACATCCCCATTACAAGTAGTCCTTGACTTAAATGATTTTGCTTAGTGACAGCTCAAAGTTAAAACAAAGAGCGGCGGTCAGCGGCGGGTAACCGTCTTCTGACATTGCGTATGGTAGGGTCAAAATTCAGGAATTTGGCAAATGGCATGTATTGATCACAATTGCAGCATCCCAAGGCGGTGTGATCACCATTTGAGGCCTTCCCAGTTGGCTTTGGACAAGTAAAGTCAACCGGGAAATATGGATTCACGTAATGTCCGCATGATGATAATATGTCCTGCTAAATGCATGGGAAAATGCCATTAGGGGCAAATCCATTGAGGGTTAGGGTTAGCTCCCCATAAATGGACATCGCCAACGGATTCAGAGCACAGAGCTACGCTTAGGAGGGTGCTGACTTTTTGAGCGCACCCTATCTACATTCCTTGGAAAAATACATGGGGAAATCCCATTGGGAAGCAAACCCACTTAGGGTTAGCTCCCCATGAATTTGGAGAGCAAAATGGACATTGCCAACGGATTCGGAGCGCATCGGTATAGTTAGGGTGCTGTGTGTGTGAGACACCAATTTAATGGCACATAATCAAATAGCACTGACTGTCTAAGAATAGAGAAGGTTTATCTATCTATCTATCTATCTATCTATCTATCTATCTATCTATCTATCTATCTATCTATCT